TTTTTTTTTTTTTTTTTTTTTTTTTTTTTTTAGTTTATTTGTTTATTTTGAGAGAGAGTGGAAGGGGCAAAAAGAGGGAGATGGAAAATCTCAAGCAGGCTCTGCACTGTCAGCATGGAGCCCACTTGGGGCTCAATTTCACTGAACCATGAACTGAAACCACTGAGCCACCCAGGTGCACCAGTCCCCCAAATTCTAATTCACTCAGGCAGGATTACTTTAAGGAGATGTGCACAGTCTCTGATTCAACTTGTGTGACCTAAGGTTTCTTTGAGTGGGTTTGGCTCCTGAATGAACTTTACACAAAACCAGGAGTCATCCTATTTGGAGCAATCCCCAGCTAACCCTACGTGTTTTTGGTAGCAAACACATGCTACAACCTAGATCCAGATTTAGATTCATGATCCAGGATTAGATGAAATCCACCACAGAGGAAGTCAAAATTCAAAGATGATTAAAATGTGCTATGCCTTTTCCCCGTGTAAAGGTGGCATACATTTGCTGAAAGGAGGGAGGGACTGTCATTACCCCTTGCTGAAATGGTACCTTTTAAACACAACTACTGTAAATGTGTATAATAAACTGGTATACAATTTCTTAGTAGTTAGGCAGAGATAATTTATAAAATATTACTTTCATTTTGGGCATAGATCTATTCATATTCTTCTAGAAGTGTTTGTGGTTTTCTCAGATATAACAATTTCAAACCTAAGATGAACTTATACTACACTATACTGTACTTCTTAATTTGACTTCTGTCTATGTTATGACATACTTTTTAATTCTTTTTTGGTTTTATGCTTATATCTGAGTTATTAAAAAACACTCATATGAAATAATATTTTCAGGTTATTCTCTTATTGCAGATTTGGATGGATTAATTTGTGCATAGATATCCACTCAATTTATAAATACATGGAATGCTTTCTCATATTCCCAGGAGTATTCTGAAGAATGATCATTTACTATGTCTTAACATGATTTTATTTATCTTATTTCAGCAACAGCTAAAAAAGATGAAAAGAAGGAAGGTATGTTTAATGCAAAAATTCCACTATGCCTTTTATGTAAACAATTTACCAAAATTCAGAGTTGAGTTTTGACTACAATCTTGTCTGTATTTCCTTTGGATAACTGGAACTATATTATGTATACATTTCTCATGAATGTATTTTTGTACTTTACCTCATGTAAATGGGTGAACTACTTTTCAAAAAAATTTTTTTCATTTAAAAAATTTTATTTATTTAAAAAATTTTTTTCAATGTTCATTTATTTTTGAGACAGAGAGAGACAGAGCATGAGTGAGGGAAGAGCAGAGAGAGAGGGAGACACAGAACCCAAAGCAGGCTCCAGGCTCTGAGCTGTCAGCACAAAGCCTGAAGCAGGGCTCAAACCCACGAATCATGAGATCGTTACCTGAGCTGAAGTCAGACACTCAACTGACTGAGCCACTCAGGTGTCCCATGTTTATTTATTTATTTATTTTGAGAGAGACAGAGACAGCATGAGTGTCAGAGTAGTGGAGAGAATCCCAAGCAGGCTCCTCATTGTCAGCACAGAGTCCAATGTGGGGCTTGAACTCACAAACCATGAGATCGTGACCTGAGCCGAAATCAAGAGTTGGTCACTTAACCGACTGAGTCACCCAGGTTGCCCCTCAAAAATAAATTTTAAATCTCATCTCTCTCAAGATAAAGGAGATAAAACATAACCTCTCAAAATCTCAGAACTTTTACTCTATTAACCACTAATCTCTGACACTAACCAGCAACTGATGCTACTTTGGTCTATTAAGTTGCAAATAAGTTATAGTCCATCCCCTGCACACCACCTCCTTTTGTCAGAATGTCCTGAGATGGAGTAAAATATTCTTGCTGTCAAAGAAAACTTGCACCCAATAGAATTTAACAGGTAAGGAAGATTTTATTTAAGACTCTTGCAATAGGACTCAAGTCCATTGTAATAGGAGAAGTTGAACTCTCAACACCACTGAAACAAAAAGCCTAAGAATTTTAAAGCTCTGAGATTAGCTAGTGGAAAGGTACTGGAGGACACAGGGTGGTTGGGGCATGGGGTGCGAGTCATTGTGATTAGGCCATCTGTGTTACCAGTTGTTGCTTATTGAAGTTAGGCTCCTACCTTCCCATAGAGATTGGGAGACAGTGGCACTGTGTCCTTTGATGATTACATTTCAAAAGGATGCTTCATCAGTCCTGAGAAAGATACTTCTCGGTATAGACAATTTATATTTCAAAGGAACAGGGAAAGAATGTACAATTGCAAGTTTTCTAGGGGCACCTGGGTGACTCAGTCAAAGTGTCAACTTTGGCTCAGGTCATGATCTCATAGTTTGTGGGTTGGAGCCCCGCATCACGCTCTGTGTTGACAGCTCAGAGCCTGGAGCTTGCTTCAGTTTCTGTGTCTCCCTCTCTCTCTGCTCCTCCCTTCCTCATGCTCTGTCTCTCTCTTTCTCTCAAAAATAAATAAACATTAAAAAATTTTAAAAAATTACAATTGCAAGTTTTCTAAAGCAAATGTACTAATAAAAGGGAAATCGAGGGTCTATAACATGTCTAAAATTTAGTCAAGCTAAGAGAAATACTAAGGTCATCTCAGTCACAATGGTTTTATTTAGAGAGGTACTTCTTATGCACTCTGACAATACTTAGACAGGATCTAAATATCACCACTGTTTATTAATCCAGGCTTATTTTCTTAGTAAAAATAGTATGAAGATACAAGCAATCATTGCCAACTTTGAAAATGACAGTTGTATCCAATTAATGTTATGTAATTTGAGAAAAATGCAAAACAAGTGTTATATTTAATATTTAGTATCATCAGAATTTTGCATAATCATAGTTTGGGAGTCACATTCTGCTTCTATTAAACAAGAATCTAAGAGTTCATGGATATGAGACAGAAAAAATATTTTAATTGGTCATTATTTGTTCAGAGAGAGAAAAACGATGGTATCATAATAAAGCCTAAAAAGACACATTAGTATGTTTGTTTTCAAGAGATTGAAATTAGTATTAATTACGCATGTACACATAGCAAATCTTTCAGTATATTCTGGAAATTATATCACTTACATGATCAACACTGTGATGAGGATACAGATATGTTACAAGAAAAAAAGAGGTAGTAAGTTTTTGATAAGACAGTACTCAAAATGTTAACTACTTTGATAAGACACTACTCAAAAATGTTAATCTTTCTCCCACCATTCTTTCTTGGGAATAAAGAACAATTTACCATTTAAGTTAAGAAAAAGAATAATATGAACAGTTATTTTTCCATTTGTTAGCATTCAAACCAAATTATTAAAAGACTTTTGGGTATATACAACAGTAGTCAAATTACTAACTGAACAACTTTAGGCTATATATGATTCTTTTTTCTCATTGCTATGGCTCCTGGATTTTTTTGTTCTATTTTCCCTGAATTTGCTGCCTCATTTTCTTTTTCTTTTTTTGAGAAATTGTTTGTAATCAGTATGAAATATTTGGAAGAGCTTGGAGAGCTTGGGTAGAGCTTTGCCATGGAGATTCAAGTGATCCAGTGTCCACCACCAACTATAAAATGTATAAATTACATACCCCTATTATTATTAGTAGTAGTATTATCATTATCATTATTATTATTATTATTATTATTGGTGTTTTCAAAGAGTTTCATGGATTATCTTTTATCTCTTATTTGGAAAAGTTTTGTAATTGTGAATATTACGATGTTTAAGAAAAAAGCTATCTAGAATAATTTTCATTGTTTCCAGTGTATAAATGGAGAACAGACTCAATGTCCAGCTATTCTAGCCAGCCATTTGATTTTGTTTCATGAGCTTCTATTTCCCTTTCTCCTGTTAAGCAGGGCTGAGAGGTATATGGACATAAGTTTCTTGGCTCTTGTTTCTTATTTTCTATAATCTCAATAAGATTATTGCAATCTTTTCCTAGAGACAGGAAGCACACGTTTATCCAAATGAGACATAGTTAGTACAAATAACCAGATACAATTTGGATTTTCAACATTTTCCTTATACAAAGTTTATTTCTACTCACATGCAAACTTTTGGGGTATAATTCAAAGATATTAATGGTTGACAGCTTTCCTAGAGAAGAAGAGAATGAGGAGGGCTTTAAGAATTAATTAGAACGTTCTGTGAAGTTCTTTCGTTAGTGAATTATAAAATGCAGAAACAAAAGTGCATACCAATGATCTGTGCACCGGGGGGCAAAGGGTTTCTTGCATAGTGAACTCTGAAGATTTGTTTTTCATCTTAAGATCTTATCCCCCTATGTCCCATCAAGTCTCTTTTAGAAACCTTAAGAAGAGAGACCCTTGGCTGCACTGAGCTTTGCCCATCACTTTTACTGTTCTTTGGACTTTGGGCATCAGAGCAACCATATCTTAGCTTAAGTGGAGTGACATTTTTGAATATTCAACTGGGGTCCTTTTGCAAGCCCTTTTCTACTGAAATTTCCCTTGTATGCCACTCTTTCTCCCCTTACAGACATTTTACTTGTTATCTGTTAACACATATTCTTTCTTATTTTCCATTAGTTCTCAAAGTCAAGTTCCATTAAATTGCATTTTTCACTATAAAATGTGCTTATTCTCTATTTCTTCTTATGTCATTGCCCCACTCTCCTTGTAGACGAGGAGACTCAAATTCTGGGGTAAGCTTCAATCACTGTTACTCCTTTGCCCCTGGCATTTTGTCTTCTAGAATTTTTAATTTGGTTGAACTCTCTTTGGTTTAATCTTGTCTAAAATAATTAGAATGGCTTATCTTCATTCACAGCTTCCAGCCCTCTAGCTTTCACCTCACATTGCCGCTTGTGATCTCACATTAGTTTTTCTAACTTCTCATGTGGACCAGGGTAATCATCTCTGAAGTCACAGGTCTTCAAAATGTGGTCAAGGACTCTTGGGGGTCCCGGAGACCCTCTCAGTGGTTCCTCAAGGTCAAAACTATTTTTGTAAAAACATGAAGTCATCGTGTGCCTTGTTCATTCTCATCTTCCCATGAGTATGCACTGGCATTTTCCAGAGGCTACATAATTTGCGATTCTGCAACAGATTGAATACTTAAGCTGATATGCAAATCCAACCATCTTCTCATTAAGCTAGACATTAATAAGATTCACAAAAATGTAGAACAAAGTCACTTATCTCACCATTTTTTTTGTATTGGAAAATATATTTGTCATAAAAATATTTATGTTAACATGTAACATGTTTATTCTTTTTTTTAACTTTTTAACGTTTAATTATTATTAGAGAGAGACAGAGCATGAGCCTGGGAGGGGCAGAAAGAGGGGGATACACAGAAACCGAAGCAAGCTCCAGGCTCTGAGCTGTCAGCACAGAGCCCGATGTGGGGCTTGAACTCACAAACCATGAGATCATGACCTGAGCCAAAGTTGGATGCTTAACCAACTGAGCCACCCAGGCGCCCCTATTCTTTTTTTTTTTTTTAATTTTTTGTTCTTTAACATTTATTTATTATTGAGAGACAGAGAGACACAGAACATGAGCAGAGGAGGGTCAGAGAGAGAGGGAGACACAGAATCTGAAGCAGGCTCTAGGCTCCGAGCTGCCAGCACAGAGCCTGACGTGGGGCTCGAACCCACGAACGGTGAGATCATGACCTGAGCTGAAGTCGGCTGCCCAACCGACTGAGCCACCCAGGCGCCCCAACCCCTATTCTTTTTTAATAAGCACATAAGCAAATATATTTTTTAAATTTTTCTCAATTTTAATATTTTTAGGTTTATTTATTTATTTTGAGAGAAAGAGAGAGAGACAGAGACAGAGAGAGTCCCAAGTAGGCACCAGACTGTCAATGAAGAGCCTAAACCAGGGCTTGAACCCACCAACGAGGAGATCATGACCTGAGCCTAAATCCAGAGCCATATACTTCACCCACTGAGCCATTCAGGTGCCCTTCAACCTTAATTTTTAAAATTATAAGTATCAATGGATAGAAACTGCATAAATAAAAGCTGTTTGGGATCTTTTAAAATTGTGAAGAAGTTAAAAGATTTCTGAGATGAAAAGTTTGAGAATCTCTAACCTAAGTAATAATCCTGCCTATAACATTTTCTCTAATACTTTCCTCCAAAATATTCAATTGGCTTCATAAAATTTTTCCTGTTTTTACCTACTTAAAATATTCAGTAGTTTCACCTCAACCACAAAATATAGTCTACATGTCTTAACCTATAATCCAAGTCCTTATGGTCTGTTTTCTGACCTCCTGTCATGCACACAGCTAGGCAAAGTCAAAGCCAAGGCCTAAATAATTCCACCAGTAAAGATACAATGAGCCCTCTTGAGATAGAGACAATTCATTACTTTCATGGTCAGCAAAAGTAACAGTATCTGAAGGTGTCAGCACGTCATGGTTCTTGTCGTACACAACAAAAAATGATGACACCCCCAAAAAGAGGCCAGAGAATGCAACACAAGTTAAGAACATTTCAGTGGTGAGGAGCCAATGCTAGACCACATACACTCACATGGTTTATGGTGTGCAATTCTATTCTCAAGGGTTCTAGGCAGGAGAACTCAGGAGGCAATAAGAGGCTGCCTATGACAGCCTCCCATCCTATTATGTTCCGGAAAGATCATGAGGCATTCCACAGAGACTCACATTAGCTATGGTTTAAAACTTGGCCTGTATGGCTTATATGGATATGTGCACAACCATCATGGTACCATGGTGGAATCTTTTCCCTATACTTCTATCCACTTTCTTTCTTTATGTATTACATATTTCTATACCAAGTCATTCTCAACTTTTAACATAGAACCTGCTATCTTGCCTTTGTTTCTGCTGTCATCATAGTAGACTTTATCCCTTCCTTTTCCTTCAACGTTTTATTCAATGATTTTAGGGCTCAGGAAAAATTCTACTTCCTCTAAGACATCTGTCTGACCCTCTCAATTAAATATAGTTTCTTTTTTCATTTATAATCTTCCATTAGAATTTATTTATACCTCCCTACCATTGCTTATTTCTTGCCACCTAGTACTTCATATTACTAGTTTCCAAATTCCGTCTACTCTAATTGACTTTAAAACTTCTGAGTAAAGACACCATGTCTAAGTCAGTTTTATCTTCTATTGGGACTAACACATTTCCTCAGTTATCACATTGCTTAATAAATATTTATTCTGTGAATGAATCAATAGTATCTAGGACTCTTAAGATCAATATGAGAGCCGCAAGAAATATGAGTAGCTATTCATCCCAGGGAAGGAAGAATTTTTTTTAATTATAATTGGAAGTTATATTCCAGGGAGATTTTTAGGTCTGAGAAATCATAGCCAAAAACTGACAATTTCATCGTAGGTACATTTTGATCACTAACTGCTACTTGGGTTGCACTAACACATCTAGGTAGATCCCATTCATTTAAACTTAGCTTCACTTATGAATTCTTAGGGGCTGGAAAGCCTTTGAGTTCTCCAACACAGTTTATCTTCTGAAGGACATAGTTTCATTGAGAATGGGCTGGATTACATTTCTCATTTATTATAGCTAGAACAAGAGCGAGGAGAGCTGAATGCATGTGAGAATTATAGGTTCTAGGGCTTCAGAATTGAGATCTGAAGGGAGATTATATTGAAAAACAAAGCAAAATATAAAATATCTGTTATTGTAACTGAGTAAAGGTGTCAATGGGGCAAGTTATACAAAGAAAATGGAATACTTCATCATCTGCATTATTAGACTATGTAGAATTAATTTTTCCCTTCAATGAAACTGATATACCATTTTTCTCTGGCATCACCTAGGAATATAGTAGACCATACCAGATACAGTAGTCCCCCTTTCTCCGTGGCTTCATTTTGGCAGTTTCAATCCCCTGAGGTCAACCACCACCTAGAAGCAAATGAACCTCCTTCCGACACATGGCTAGAAGTTCAATAGTAGTCTAACGTCAATCATAATGCCTATGTCATTCACCTCACTTTATCTCATCACACAGGCATTTTATCATTTCACATTGTCACAAGAAGAGTGACTACAGTACAGTAAGATATTTTAAGAGAGACCATATTCACATGACTTTTATTACAGTATACTGTTATAATTTGTCTATTTTATTATTATTATTACTAATCTCTTGCTGTGCCTAATTTATAAATTAAACTTTATCATAGGTATGCATATAGAGGAAAAAAACATAGGATATACAGGGTTTGGTACTATCTGCAGTTTCAGGTATCCACTGGGAGTCTGGAATGTACCCTGCCACCCCGCCCCAGATGAGGGACACTACTGTGCATCGCTAGCAATGAGTGAATGATGAATTAAACAGATTGCTAACACATCACTTCTTTTAAATCACAGCTGCTGTGAGTCTTGATGTTCTTAATAAAAGACTGTTGTTCAGATTATTGGGCATATGGTCTTTAGGGAAGTATATTCACTTAGTAAGCCTTTATCATATTTTTAAGCTGTTTCAGCAGAATGCTCAGAGGGTATAATGAAGCCTAATAGCCTGAGTATTAATGGCTAGTACTAATAGCTTTTCAGGGTCCGTATGTGATCTTTCAGTTCCAAGCATTATGTTTTTGGTTGCTCAGGTATTTTACTTGTAGAAGTCTCCTGCTGTGTTGACTCCTAACCCCAAAACATGATTCTAAAATGGTACTTCAAGTTAATTTCACTATAGCTCCCAGTTTATAGAACAAATGTAGTGAACTTTTGAAAGATTTACCTGATTAGATTGTGGCTTATAATTTTGTTACATTTCTTCTTCATGAAACACTTTACTTTATCTGAATAAATTCTATGCTGATCTGATCCTGGACTTCAAATGATTTGTTTACTCTTTCATTTCAGTACAATTGATATATAATACATTATATTACCAATTCCTATTATGAGGGTGAAAGAATGCAGGTTAAAACAGCAGACATTTCACAGCTAAATATTGTATTTAGCTTTCCACACCTCCCCCATGCCAGCATCTAGTCAAAGAATAGGGGTGGGGTGGAAATAATCTTCTTATCTGCCACATTTCATCCTCTGTCCCACCGATCTTTCCAAACTTGATTTTCAATTGTATTCTTTTTTCAAAAGTTTTAAAAAGTTTTTATTTTATTTTTGAGACAGAGAAAGAGAGCACTTGGGGGAGGGGCAGAGAGAGAGGGAGACACAGAATCTGAAGCAGACTCCAGGCTCTGAGCTGTCAGCACAGAGCCCAACTCAGGGCTCGAACCCACGAACCATGAGATCATGAAGAGCCAAAGTTGGATACCCAATGGACTGAGCCACCCAGGCGTCCTTGTAAAGCACATTTTAGATAATAAATTTAGCGTACTCAATTACAGTTCCAGATGAGAAACTAAATATCAAGAAACTATTTTTTGAGGGGGTGGGAAGGATATTAAGAAAAATCTAGTCTAATATTCTTTATACTGTGCCATGCTGGGCATACTAATGCTTAATAGATGTTTACTTATAAGTAAATGCTTTATTCCAAGTACTTATTATTTTTCATAAGGTTTGTGTGTACATGAAACATACTCTTATTACAGAAAAATGAGAAACAGGTTGCAAAAATATCATTTTAATGACTGTATTTTTCTATTATGTGGATATCCTATTAATTCTTTAGGAGTTCCACTACTGTTCAGAGGGTACCGTTTAATATTCCCATTATTTAGAAATATAAAACAATTTCATGGAAAAGTCTCTATGTATATTTTTATGATAATTTTCCATTTTTCTCTTTGGATTTCTAGTAGTGGACTTACTGTATCAAAACCATGCTCATTTTTATGACTTTCTAGGTTATTTCTCCAGTTGCCTTCCTAAAATGTGTTTCTAGCTTATACTTCTATGAAAGTGAGTTTTTACTTTTACAACACTATTACTGTCATTGGTTATCATTTTTTCTTAAAACAACTCAGTTGACCATGTAACTGCTTTTTGTGGATAAACTCCTATTCATTGTCATCTTTAAACATTTTAGCTCCATTACTTCATTGTGGAAGTAATATCATGGACCCAACTACATTCCTATATGGCCCACAAATCCATTAGCTTACATATTATTAGTGAATGTCTACTGTTCTCAGTTCTAAAGCATATAATTATCAGCCCAAAAACAGTTTGTCTACCTTTTCCAATGATCAATTTATAGTTCCTTATTATAATTGTAATTTCAGTAATATCCAGAAAATTTCAAAGTTAATTTACAGAAGAGGTAAAGAAAATAAAAACATGGAAAAAAATAAATATTTCTAAGCAGAAACTTCAGATGCTTCTATACTAAAGTAAAATGGGATCAACACCTCTCGTTGTATTTTCAAGTGATAGGAACAGAAAGTTGCATGGTCTAAATACTAAAAAATAGTAAAATTTTTCATAATTAAACTGAACACACAAAAGACAAATAAAACAGATGCCTGTTGACTATTGAATACACATTAATTATTACTTTATGGCAGCTACGAAGAATGATGATGTGTTCATCAGTAACCTATGTGACAACCTCAACCTGTTTTGTTTCACAGCAATAATTGAATATTTGTATTGTAAATATATTGATTGCTCAAAGAGTGTAAAGCAGGTCATCTGGGTGGCTCCAGACTGAACAATTGAAACTTCAGACTAAATTCATGGGCTTTAGCCCATCTTTATGGGAACAGACCATATATTTTCTCAGTTTGACTTTCTATGAAAGAGTTACCAGCTTTGATAGGCACAATGTAATCTCTGTGCAAATCATATATGGATATTTTTTATCTCTTTTCTTTTTTGTAATATTTATATTTCAGAAAATTTCTTATGTACTACCTCACTCTAATACTCATCTACTCAAAAACAGAGTAATTTCTCTTTAAGCCTCATATTCTAGAAATATATCATGCAATCAGTGCATTTTATTGAAGATTACTTCAGAGTGTTAGGCATTTTACTGTAAACCAATAAATTTTTGATTTATCATATCTGCTTTATCAATAATTTATCTTTGTGTTTTCAGATTCTAAGAAAACAAAAACAACTATAGAAGGTATTGGAAATATTTTCTTTCTCTGTCTTATATTTGATGAATCCCCAAATTACATTTATCCTTCAAGGACTATTGTAGAAGAAAAAAACTACATATAGGATAAGGAGAGAAGGGGAGAGAGAGAAAAAGATTGAGAATGAAAGTCAAATCTTTTCTGACAATATTGCTATTAGAAATATTTAACAAAATAAAAAATAAATATTACCTATGTTTACCTTTCACAATAATTGTTTTCAAAGAAATGTTTTCTTGACAAGAAATTGTATAATGTTCAGTATCAAGCATTTATTTTACCAGAAAGCATAGGGGCGCCTGGGTGGTGCAGTCGGTTAAGCGTCCGACTTCAGCCAGGTCACTATCTCGCGGTCCGGGAGTTCGAGCCCCGCGTCAGGCTCTGGGCTGACAGCTTGGAGCCTGGAGCCTGTTTCCGATTCTGTGTCTCCCTCTCTCTCTGCCCCTCCCCCGTTCATGCTCCATCTCTGTCCCAAAAATAAATAAACGTTGAAAAAAAAATTAAAAAAAAAAGAAAATAAAAAAAGAAAGCATAAATTCACTTAATCTTGGAAACACCAGCATCAATTAGGAACTGAATCATTACTTTAAGTCTTGAATAGAATCATAACTCATCTGGCAAGTAAACCTGTTTCTTTTGTATTTGTTCATATGGGTTTACGTGTTCACCTGTGTTTAAGAAGTCTGCAAGGTATAAATCACTGAAAATGATTAAACAGTGCAATTCTAAGTCAATTTATTGTCACACAATGTTTTGCACGCAAATTATGGAAATACCTACAGTAATTGCCAGTAATTCAGAGCAACACTGAAATTTAAAGAAAGAGAATGGGAAAGGGGCTGGAAAAATTATAGTCTAGTCCATATGTTCGGAGAGCAGTTTTATCTTTAAAAGTTTTAAGAGCAATTGTTTGTTTTGTTTTTTATTTCTTCCAACAGAACAACCCAAGGGAAAAAGTAAGGAAATACATGCAAAGTATATTTGTGTATATGTTTTTTCTCTTTACTATCATTATTGGCCTGCTGATAGACTTGCAGTTTTGAATCTCTTTTTTTGTTTTATGCATGTGAACTCTGTTGGTTGTTTTTCTGTCGGTATGAAAAAGTACACAACCTGAGGGTCAGAGGGACTGAAAACCATGGCAATCATTCTCAAAGTCCATTGCCAAATTCATACAATCATCTAATAATATTATCCACAGCCACATAACTAAAAATACAACTTCATTCCATTAACCAAAACTGTGAGTGTAAATATAATTCCTGTAACCTGGTAAATTCTCAGTCCTTAAAAAAGACCAAATAGAATTTATTTTTCAGGCTGGTTTCATAACCTCTTTCTCATTATCTTTCTTCTTGCAATCCATAAATATTTTGGTATGTTCATATTATATATATATGACATTTTGTTCTTAACATGATTTACCCTTATAAGCACCTGAGCTCCGTGTAATAGCATTGCTTGAAATCCATCCCTTAGGCAGCATCTACTGCTGCTTTAACACTGTGTTAAAGCTGTTTGCTAACAGTAAAGCCAGATACCTTGAGGTTGTATCTTTTGCAAATATACGCTCTCCTCTGAAGAAATGCTGATATATTGAACAAATGGAAACAAAAAGCCCCAACTTAACCCTACTCGATCAGCTATTAAAAATCATCACATTCCCAGAATGTAGAGCTTTTCAGGATCCCAGTGATATTAAAAAACATCTGTTTTAAAATACATACCATTTTTGAAAATTTTATGTATGTTTTGGTACTGTAAAAGGTTAGGATGCTGAGGCATTCTGTGTCATAAAATGCTCTAAATGCACTGTGGGATGAATCATGAAATTATAGTGCAACTCAGCCAGGGGGAGCAATCTATCTATAGAGAAGTATGTGTTCCTTCAGTTTCAGATTTATGTGAGCGCACTGCTGCTGATGAGCACAAGCACACGGAAACAGAAACACTGTATAAACCATTGCACCAGCAGAAAAATGAAGGACAACCAGAGATTTGAAAAATGATATTAAATTATAAATACACACACACACACACACACACACACACACACACACACATATATATACACACATATATAACCCTAAGGCCCTCGGTTTATTGCAGTCTATATAATTTAAAAGATCCTGCAGACACACTGTGTCTCCTTGACAATCTCGGGAGCATTGGTAGATTTAATTTAAGAAAAAAATGCCTTCCCAGGCATTCATTTACATCCCAACTGCTTCCTTCCTTGAGAAATTCAGTGGATTGTGACTTGGGCAGTAATAAGAAAAAGAAAACAAATTTTCCTCTAAACAACTATTAATTATTTCTAAATTAACTTATTTATTCTGGTTTATCATCTAGACTTGGCTTTTATTGTTGTTAATGTTGTATCTTTTAATTTGTTTGATTTCATTTTTTTGTCTTTAAGATTGTTTTATTCAATTACACATCTCTAACCCTATATTCTTATTTTGCTTTTACTTTTCTAGTTGTCACAATTAAGAAGTTTTTTCTTTAGTTAAAAAAAAAAATCATGGTAGGGAAACAGTGAAGAGTACATGGAGCCTTCCTATACATAGTTTTGAAAATTCTCATGATCTATAATTTTTTCAAAATAAAAAGTAAAAAAAATCAATCATAGATATGATTTGGCAGTTTTATAAATTTATATTTATTAAAAATAATTCAATAATTACATCCTGAATTATCCCATATAAGTGCTCTCAACAGCATTTTTCCTCATGTTGTTCCAAATTAGCACAGGTATTTTTTTGCTTGTATGAGGCTTTCTGATGTTGATTGGAAAGCCCCCTTGTTTTACTTTGAAATTTCACATATTGCCGGGATTGAATTTTGATGCATACCCAGATTACTCCCACTATGTTTTTGATGGTCATCACTTTGCAAATTTCTTAGAAATGTTACATGATTGGTGCTTCGGTCCCACAGTAAATTAAGCAACATATTTAATTACTCCATGTTTTTCAAACAACTTTTGGGAATGTTCTTACTGTCTTTAATTTTAGCTAAATCACCTAAGGGTCTGCTTTCTGACTTGTAACACTTGGTCAAGTCATTTGTTTTATTTGTTTTACTGCCTGGATGCAACCTTGTGAGTGGGTAAACTGCTCTTTATACTTAACATGACTACACTCTTGATAAACAAATTATACACTTGAGAAGCTCATGAGATCACCAGAGAGATTTGATGGCACTCTGTTTCTGAAATACAGTTCTTAGAATTCTTTCAACGTAAACATCTCCCAGTCTCCAAAATGTATTCATTGAATGAAACTTAAGAAATCTTCACATACCTTCTCTTTAAAAAATCCGATAATAATATACCTATGTTAAAACATTTCTTGAAAATCTTCTTTTAAATTAATTTGACAAGCTTGTCAAGGGGAAAAAAAGGATTGCAGATAATAACACTCCATATAAAATTAGTACTTGCACTTTATATAAAATTAGTGCTTATTATAATAGAAATGCCATCTTACTCTTGAGGCCAGAATAACACTTTGCCTCACACAATATTGACAAGAGTAGATTCTTAAAAAGAAACACTATCTAAAAAGGACCCTATATGGAGCATTTGTCCTAAAAACAAGGGGAGTGTGTTTTGCTTTCCACTGAAAATTCAGTCTATTTTGGTGTTCTCAGCAAAGTCTTTGACTTAACTAAACAAATACCTTTTCAATATAAGAAGATTTCACCTTCGAAGAGGAAGTCCATATGGAATCTGTCCATCTTTATCTGAAAATTATTTTAAAACAGCTGCAATAATTATCCTTTGTGCTTTTTTAATCCCAAATTTATTTGATGTTGATCTAATACAATAGGAAATTAATTATTTTCCATCCTTTATGGACCCTATTTAATTTTCTTTATTAATCATGAAGAATTGCTCTTATGTAGAATATTTTTATGCTGTTCGGTGCAGGAACTCAGTGAGGGAAAGAGAGGAAAGATTTAAATATACAGTCTTAGTCTTTTCATAGCAATTATCAGTTGTTGAGCCCAGCATTAGCACATACATGTTTCTTTGTGTTAAAGCAATTAAATTATGACATATAAAATTGGAATGATAATAATGATGGTAATAATAATAATAATGATAATATTGTTCCTTTCAGAACAGGAAAAGAAAGAAAAACATGTGGAACCAGGTAACTGTTTTTAAATTCCTCTATCTTACTTTCATATTGTTACTTAATTTGCAATTGAATACTGAATTGCCATAGAATGGCTTGGAATTTTGACTTTTTTTTTTCTTTTCTTTGATACAGCAAAGTCATCAAAGAAGGAACATTCAGGTGAGTTAGTCTGATGTTGCTGGGTTCTTTCTACCCTATATGCAATGTTTATTAATGTTGCAGCCTTATGACAAGAAAGGGTAGGAAATCCTTCCATCCCATAGTCTTTTCAAGTTCTTGACACAGAGTTAGCACCAATGAAGTTTTTGAAAATTAAAGCCAAATAATTTGTTACACTCTTGCTACCCAATATATGTCTGTGAGCCAGCAACACCAGGTTGTTAGAAATGCAGTATCTCCAGCTCCTTCCTGGACTGACTGAATCAGTAGCTTCCTAAGTTCCCCAGTGAATTTTTCAGAGCAGTGTTTAGTGTAAAAAACAACAACAACAAAAAACAAAAAACAAAAAAACCCAATACAAAACAAAAGAAAAACCACTTTCTATAAGTGCATCCAATATTGTTTTACCTGTAAAATACGGAATATTCAATTCCAGCAATTACTCTCTCCCTATTCAAAATGTTACTTAATGACATTTCTTGAGTACTCAGGGGAGCTGCAATAAAAGTAGAGGTAGATTTTGCCCTCAATATATTTACATTCTAATGGGGGAAAATTGAATTGAGAATCAGACAATCAGTAAAACACATATACAAACAATTCTAAAAATGCAGTAAGTATGAATACCAATGGTTTTCTTAAAGGTTTCTAGCATTTAGCCTGCCAATTAGTTATTTCAAAGGAAAATAAACGCAAGTTTCTAAACTTATTTTATTGACTTAATTTTAAAATATTACCTTTTGTTTTTGCCTTCAAATTTCTACTCAAGGAACTTCATTGAGTTTTCGTGTGTGTGTGTGTGTGTGTGTGGCCATAAATTCATATAATGTCCATTATTTTCTCCTCCCATTTTATTGTATTTGAATGGAAATTGCATGTATTCAGTGCTATATAAATACCCATACAAATATAGCTCAACTATTTACTACCCTCCAACACAGACCACAGAAAACCCAGGTTCAAAGCTATACTTCTTATTCTTCTGAGTTTGTAAAACTTCCTCAGACAACCCAAATCCATTTAGTTCTTTCCTTTATAATAGCACTTAATATATGGTCAGAAATTAGAGTGCTTATTTTAATGCCAGGCACACAGTAAGCACTTGATAATGGTTTATTGCATGAAATGAGCAACACCAAATAGAATAATCACATTAAAAAATTAAATGGGAATGAGGTTTAAATAATTTCCAAGATGAAATGATCACATACTTCACCATTTCACATTAATGTTGATATTACTTATCCTTTGGGAAGGAATTGTTTTGTTTACCTTACAGAGAACAGAGTATTAACATTTCCACAAGTAGGCCATAACACATATTCTTATTTATGCACATATGCAGAAAACTAAAATAAAGTATATATCATGTAAATATATAAAATATAAACCTGGAGAAACAGAGAATGACTATGGGTGTAATGAGTTTCAAGAGTTTTAATAGCTAACCATTATTGTCTAATATTAAACTTGACAAAATACAGTAACTTAAATTGCTTAAAATCATTATCTGTTCATTTCAGGGTATGATTACAGTGTAGCAGCTTTGCAGTAATTAGATGTATTTTAAAAATTGAAACCATTGGACAATTTATCAATTCACTATGTTCTTTTCATATCACTTGAAGTAAAATGCATTGACTTGTATGTAAAAACAATCAGATTCTTAGCTAATTTAAAATGCAAAACAAAATGAATAAGTTGTGAGTGAACATTCTGTGTTGGGAGAAGATATATAAGTATAAAAAATATCTATGTTCATGGCATCTATTTATAATATATAAAAGAAAATGGAACAGTGTGGAATTTTCTCCTGCACAGACCTGTACTTCCTTAGTTTCCAAGGTTATAGTCTTAAAAAATTTAAATAACCTTAAAACTATGTTAGAGACAGTGGACTTGTAATTAATTTAGATTTTGTTATTTCTTGTCTTTAACAGCTCCAAGTGAAAAGCAAATAAAAGCAAGTATGTTGAATAAAACTTAAAATGACAGAAAGAGCATACTTCACCAGCTTACTAATTTAAGTTTTCTGCTTATAGACAATGCTAATGCTAATTTTTGAAGCTGGCTTACCAAATGTTTCTTGATTTTAATATTTGTTGTGCTGAAATAATATACATAATTATTCAAACTTCCCTTTTCTGTGAATTTATTCTTCTTAAAATTTATTTTCATTTGTAAATGTTAATTTCTCCAGATCATAACTCCTTTTTGAGTGGTTCATAATTTTTGTTTCTTATTTTGCAGAATAAGTGATCTCTTCAGTTTCTTAAACACATCAGACTTAATTTTCCTAACAATTAATCACTTGATCAAACCAACAGGCAACATAATTTGTCAACCAGTGAAAGACATTGTGTCTTGAATGAAATGAAGCCTCCAACAACTTTAACTATTGCTCTTATAAAATCATAATTTCCTTTTAGGGTTTATATCCTCAGATTATGAATATTAACAGATAACTATAATATACCATGACATTTGCATCAATAGTAGCTTTCACTCCATGCTTAGGGACAAATGCTGGTGTCTTTGATGGTTTTTCTCAATTGTATGAAGTACTTAACAGATTGTCATTAATGAAAGTTATTTTAGGCATAAGGACATATATTTGATTTCAGAAAAAAATATACTTTAACTTCTCTAAGATTGATATACAGGACTTACTGTAAAACTTAAGTTTTTTGCATTATATAAATATAATTATATTTTTCATTTGGTTTGGAGCTGCATAGGTATGGTATTAATATATAAAACAAATGCATGTTTTATTTAGTGCCAGGATTTTGAGATAAAGTATTTCATTGGTGGATATATCAGAGAAAAATTAGAAATATAATGGAGAGTAACTTGGTGGGCATGTCTTTTAAAAAATTACAGTTGGAAGTGTTTATATAGACATTACAGACTTTGATTGAGAGGTGTAACATGAACCTAAAATTCTATTTATATTTTCATGAAAATTTTTAGTTGAATGTAAAGCTGATTGGAACTCTGTATTATGGAATCTTCAGCATGCTAATACTTAGTCTGTAGAAATGCATAATCAAGAAAATATGTAAGACAAAACTGATAATTTTGCAGCACTGGTAGAGAATGTTAGATTGAAGACTGCTAAAAATGAACATTTTCTTCCCAGAAAAATGTGACATATAGATAAAAATGTTGATTTGCAATAAAACAGCCCTGTTAAGTTCTGCTATCTATGAGGCACACTATCCAATCAAGTTTTGAAGAGATCAGCATCTTTTGCAGGAAATTAGCAAATTAAGTTGCTAAATCATCTTAGACCCAATATAAAAGTTTCAAAAGAATTAATACTCAACTCTTCATACAGTTGAAAAATTTAGACTTGACATGGGCATTATTGCTCAATACAAAAATTAATTACAGATAATTCATAAATTGCTTAAATTCTCTACTAACAGTGTGACCATCCATTTATTCAACTAAGAGTTGCTTTTCGGTCTTGAAACCATACAACAGAAGAATTTTTACACATCTGGTATGCACAGTAGGCCATTACTTTATTGTAGGCAATAACTTTATTGCCTAAGGTAAAGATTGCTCTTCATTACAAATACTCTTGAAAATTCCTCATATAATATGGTGCACATAGTTTTTTGTATATAACCTAAATATTTGGGATATGATTTATGGTATCCTAAGTTATGAGAGCAAATGAGAGTGAGATGTATAGTTTAATTAACATAAATTTAATATTTATGTGATACAATTGCTTGGTGTTAAATTAAAAAGGAGAGGTGAGATTGACAGGGTTAGTGCAAGTCCATCGAAAAATAAAAGGTAGTTGGTCATTAACACTTTATTCCAGGAAATAACTAGAATGTTGGTTGAATTTGTGGTGTGGAACTATTTGTTCTAGGTGCCGGAGGAAATCAAAATCACTGTAGGAAAAATACTGCAGGACACAGACAAACTCGGGAGCTCTCTTAGTTCATGGTGGAGGTCGTCATTATACCATGAACTTGAAGGAAACAAAATATTTCAAATTCTAGAAGGTAGTACTATGGAGGGGCACTTAATACCTCTCTATATAAAGTTATGTGTCAGGGGTTATGTGGGTGGAAGAAGACTGTCTTGGACTTAGCAGGCATGCCAAACTTAGATTTACAATTTTTGCAAGTCAACACAAATTCTTTTATCATAGGACATACAAAAATGCTTCAACACACCCAATTCCCTTCTCTGCAGTCCATTGTAGCTGCTTTCCCACACGCTGGATAGCAACATAGGGGTTGACAATATGATTAGCCATTTCCAAACAGGAAAAGATCCAAATAAGTAGATTTTTAAGCCCTAGGTCATTTCAGGTCTTTAATGTTCTCCTTGGTGAATCTTCAAGAGGAAATGCAGTACACAATGCTTAGCAACTATATTTTCCCACATCATATCCTTTTTTTTTCCCTCCAAGAACTCTTCAGTGACCAATGTGCCTCAAGACCTTGGAAACATATCTATATATTACTTCCTTCTTCTTATCAAGGACCACAGGGCTCTGATCATGTATTCTGTGTGCATGTTCTTCCAGCCTCTGGTCAATCTGAATTTTGAGCAAAAAAAGGCTCCAAAGTCCAGTCATTTTTAATTTTTTTAAATAATTTTAATTGAAATGTCAATAGTCATGCATTTTTCTTCCTTTGATCTTAGCACTGCATTTGACTTGTGTGTGCTCAGCCACCAAGCCTAACTGTCTTTATTACCTTAACTACACTTCAATACCTAAATGTGTGAGTCAGATGATTATCGCTTGATCTACTAATACATGTCAAGATTCTTCAGGAGAAACCAATACACAGAATTTAAAAGTAAAGTTCCTTTGGGGCACCTGACTGGCTCAGTCAGTGGAGCATGTGACTTTTGACTTTGGGGGTATGAGTTTGAGCTCCACATTGGGTGTAGAAATTGCTTTTATTTTTATTTATTTTTTTTTAAAATTTTTTTTTCAACGTTTATTTATTTTTGGGACAGAGAGAGACAGAGCATGAACGGGCGAGGGGCACAGAGAGAGGGAGACACAGAATCGGAAACAGGCTCCAGGCTCTGAGCCATCAGCCCAAAGCCCGACACGGGGCTCGAACTCACGGACCGTGAGATCCTGACCTGGTTGAAGTCGGACGCTTAACCGACTGCGCCACCCAGGCGCCCCTAGAAATTGCTTTTAAAAAAAGGGGGGAAAAAGTCCCTTTTGAATCCATTAGGTGTATACTATTAGAAGAGTACTTGGGGACAATTTACATTAGTTAGAAAAGTGGCATGGCTTTTGGTAATCAGTTACCTACTCTGTAATGGAAGTTACTGGGGGAAAATATCTATGGACCTGAACAATAGCTCTGATGTCAATAAGGTGTGTCTAGAACACAGACTGCATGACATGTATGACCATGTATGTCAATTGGTGAAGACAGTCTTCATATTCATATTCGTATGAATAATTATTATTAGCACTTCCTTTCACTTGCTCAATTTTGGTAATAAATTATAATATCACAACTCAAATTGTGTGAGGCTGACTGGCTGACTGAATAAATTCAAAATAGTACTAATACAATACTAACAAAATACAAGCTACACACTTGGAAACGATATTTGTAGCACACATAAGTAACAAGAAGTGAGTAGCAAAAATTAAATAACTCTAAAAATGAATACAAGACATTGATAGAACAGTGGACAGAAAAAAATGGGTAAAAAGATATAGGTAAGCATCAAAAAAAGCCCACAAATGTTTTATAAGCATATCAAAAGATGTTTAGTCTCTTAGTATAATGGAATTTTAATTAGAAGCACAATGGGATACTATTGGACATGTGCCAGATTGACCAAAAAAGAGGAAAATTATTATTCTGGGAACAGTAATCATATGAAGCAATGGAAACTTACCATACACTGTTGGTATGAATGTAAAATTTGGGGGAACATTGTAGCATTTATCTGGAAAAATTAAACATGAGAAAATGCTATGAACTAATGATTTCACTTCTAAGAAAATTCTTCAACATGTGCACCAGGAGACATGTGTGGGAATGTTTAAAGCAGGATTATTTATAACAGCACAAAAATCAGACATGACCTAATGTCCATTGGCAGAAGGATGAATATATAATTATTAGAATGTACATATAGTGGAATACTGTACAGCAGTTAAAATTAATCAGCCACAGCTACTCATGTCAACATGGCTTCCATAAAAAGTTAAACAACGATGTTGAAGCAGTGCCAAAAATGAAAACTAGTTAAGGGTACTCCATAGGCAGGATCTAGGGCAGAGGTTTAAGAATACACAGAAGCAAAGCAAAGAAGTGATTTAATTGGCTGTAACTTAAATGTTTGCCTTGTTTGGGAAGGTTTAGTTATTTGGATGTCATGATAGTTGCTCTTGAATTTTAGTTTCTCAGGTTCCAGAAAAATCTAGAAGACTCTGGCTTTGGTTTGTTTCTATAAGCCACCAAAATCTCTAGAGCTACCCCAGTCTAAGAGCCTCTGTATGTGACTATTTTAACACTGCATCTCAACATGATGTTTTGAAAGAAGCAAATTACAAGAATTAAACAATATAAATCAATATTTATAAAGTTATCACACTAAACAATATAGTTCAATCTGTGAAAAATGGTCTTGTCTTTGTTTAGAGATAAGTACATGTAATAAACAACTGTGTTAAAAAATAAGAAAATGATTAATATAAAATTTAGGACAATAATAATTCTGAGATGAAGGAAAAAGCATGAGGTAGTGGAATGAGTAAGAGGTTTCAAAAGCTTTGGTGATATGTTATTTCTTAAGCTTGCTGGATGTTACAAAGGTATGCATTTTTTATTACCATTCATTAAAGTGCGCACATATGTTATATGCTTTTGTATCTTTCATTTATATAATATTTTTCATAATTAGTCAGGTTTTAAAAAAAACAGAGTGAAAAAACAGAATTGGTGACACTGTCACAACTCCCTGGAGGCTGTGATGGACCACAGAGAGAGGAGGCAGCTGAGGTGGGAGGTGTATAGAAGTGAAGGATGTGGTTGTCTGCAGTTACAAAGAGTGACATATTATGTTTCTGAACTGATGTGAAAGTGTCACTGAGGTGGAAAACTGATGCGGTAGCAGAGAGAAGCAATATTTGCAAGAAAAAGACCTTGACTTGGCAGAAGGAGAAGGGAGGCAGGATGGACTGGTATTAAATTGGGGTGGGGACCCATCATCCTTTGGGATTGAAAGGAAAACAAATGGCGCAGGTATGTGCTGGTGAGGTGGTGAAAACAGGAGGTAGTGTAGTCTGCTTTTATTTTCCACCTGAATTTCTCAACAGCAGCTTGCCTCTACACTGCAGGATATTGGAAGTTTGAGGAGGGGGGAGAAGGCATGAACCAGTTGTCTAGAATGGGAAAACAATTTCCATAGGTCTGTGCTAGTATTGCTGATCAGTGCTGAACACTCCCCTTAACTACTGAAATGTGACAACCCAAGTGAGACCTGAAGCAGTAGGAGGGCCTTCCTCAAGTTTGGATGGCTGCTCAGGTGGCAGACATAAAGTAGTTTTGTGTTTTGAGGGTGTCATGGGCTGAATTGTGTCACTGCAAAGGATATCCTAAAGTCCTAAGTCGGTACCTCTGAGTGTGATTGAATCAAGTTAGGATGAGGTCATACGGATTAGAGTGGGCCCTGAATCCAATTACTGGTGTCTTTAGAAGGAGAGGAAGATTTGGAGATGCACAAATTCATACAGAGGGAGGAGAATAATATGAACAGAAAAGGAGGAATTGGGGTGAGGCAGCTATAAATCAGTAAATGCCAAGGACTGCCAATAACCACCAGAAGCTAGCAAGAGGCAAGGAAGGATTCTTTCTATGAGAGTTCCAAGATAGCTTCAGAGTATGGCCCTGACAGCACCTTAATTTTGGACTTCTTGCCTCCAGAACTTTGAAAGAATAAATTTCTGGTGTTTTTAGCCACCGAACAGTTTAAAAGCAGCCTGAGAAACTACTGGTAACTGTAAAAGCAGATCACTAAGTGAATGATTTAACCATGGCTCATTTAAATATTGATAAGACTAATGAGCAGGAGCAGTGAAAAAGGGGTAAGGTCAAAAGAACAAAAGTATTGATGGAGTCAGATACCATTTGGAAAAGGTTCTTTTTAAAAAAATTTTTTAATGTTTATTTTTGAGAGAGAGCGACAGAGTGTGAACAGGGGAGAGGCAGAGAGAGAAGGAGACACAGAATCTGAAGCAGGCTCCAGGCTCTGAGCTGTTAGCACAGAGCCTGATTCAGGGCTTGAACCTATGAACTGCCAGATCATGACCTGAGCTGAATTCGGATGCTTCACTGACTGAGCCACCCAGGTGCCCTTATTTGGAAAAGATTCTTGAGTAAGTGAGCTGTAAAATGAAGAATGGTGCCAGAGAATAGGATTTGGGGGATCAAAGTTTTGGAAGCAAAGTCCAAGAGTATGTTGGTAGGGGGCAGGAATTTTGTTTTAAATGAGGAGGTCAAGGAAATGAGAGATAAAGCATACATATGAACTGTGTGTATGACTCCCAATCCTAGTTAAATATGAGTACCTTGGAAAGCTTCCAAATATATGAATACCCAGGGCTCCTTTCAGATTCATTAACTCAGAATCTCAAAGCTTTCAAAACTCTATAGCTCACCATAGACCTACTACATCTGACACCCATAGACTTGTAATAGCCCCCAACTTATTCTAATGCTCAACCGTGATTGAGAGTGGTTCTTAATGAAATCTCACAATAGTAGAGGAAGACAACTATGTGCAAAAATACTCAATGAGGGATGGTGCTAGAGTATAAGGTCAATAATGACAATAAGAGGAGGGATCAAGCCAGATACAAACTGATAGTGTACACTTCAAAGGAAATGAGATTTATGGAAAGCCAGGAGATAACGACCATTGAGAAATAATAGACACTTTGGTATGTAAGGGTTGGGAAAACAAACATTCTCCATTTTAGAAGACTGCTTGCAGAGTTGCAGAGGCCTTAGGGAGCTAGGGGGTGGTTAAAAGAAGACAGCAAAGCTCATGCTGTGAATAGAGGCTGAGGATACTGGTGCATATACTGTAGTGGAGAGTTGGAAGGACTTTGGTAAGGATCTGTTTTTAGGAGAAATGTGAACTCTGTTTTCTGCCGGAAGCCTAGGTTCATGGTGGTTACTGAGGTAAACACAAATGGGGATCACAGAAGGATTCAGCTTGATGGTCTCTTAGGGGATATTTGGTAATCAGTTTCCAAACTATGGTCTGGACCAAAGGCATAAGCATCACCTGGGAAATGATTAGAAATGTAAATTCTCAGGACATGCCCTAGATTCTTTGAATCACAAACCATTTGGGCTGTGTCTGCATTTTAACAGCTCACGGGGTGACTCAGATGCATGCTGAAGTTTGAGAACCACTAGTGTAAAGTCTTTATCTGGAAGGTGTACAACAGCCAGGGGTCTGCATAGTCCTGGAGCTCAGGGTCTTAAGACAGCCTGGAAGAGGTTATTTACATGACTTCTTGCATAGGCTCAAATTGCAAAGCTCATGATATCTAATATGGTAGAATTAAAGCCTGAACATGATGTGAAGGCCTCTTCTGACATCTGATCTTTCTCACAGCCCAAGGTCTATGGCATAAGGATGGAGGGAGAGGGGGGCATGAAGAGTCCTGTTGTGTGGTTGTTCCTAGAGCTCAGCTGCTGAGTGCATATGAGTGAGGGGGATACGTACACATACTAATGAAAATAAAAGTAAACATAAAAATACAGGTGGCCAACGAGAACAACATCAAAAAATAAAAAGTCAGTAAAATGAATAAATAAAGATTTGTAAATATTCACCAGTTCATTGTTATTTTTGTTATTTTCCTATAGACTGGAGAAAGTTCTTTCAATTAGCTATGATTCGAGGTCCAAAATTTTGTACTAGGACCAGCATTTCAGATTATGTCTTCCAGACAGCTCTCTTATATTCCACACCAGATAAACTACATGAGAAATCACAAGAGGCCACTTTGGCCTTTAAAAAATTTTCTCTCTCTCCAAGCAATATTCAAATGGAATTTTCCATAATACTACAGCTAATCTTTTATAATATAGAGCTAATTGATTGAGATCAAATACTGCTTGCCATCCCCATAATTAAAGGCTAAGCGAAAAAGTCCTCTTCCACACAACTCATACATCATTTTACATTTGAATATAAACTAATTAGTATTCCAGTGTATTTTGTGAAATAAGCCACCTTGTTTTATGGCCACTACTTACATAGGCATTAAAATTTAATACGGCAGAGCAGTATGTGGGAGAGATAAGAGAGTTCATTACTTTAAAAATATGTAAGTACTTTATAGAGTGGCTCTTCTTTGCTGCTTGCTTTGCTCTCAGGCGCCACACATATTTTATCTTTTGGGCACTTTTAGTCTTGTCTGACTTACAATACCATAAGATATCGACCTGGCATCTCTGATATCCATTTCTCATTCTTTAATATCTGAATTTGCAGAAACTGAACGAGCCAAAGAAGAGGCTGGTGCTGCCTCAACTAAAAAAGGTAAGTGCAGCTTGAAGAAAAAGATGTCATGGCTATAGCTTATTTCTGCTAAGGTTCCTAACTTAATGTATTGTTCGGTACTTATAAAAGAGGTCTAATTTATTGATTTTGGTATTTCATTGACACAGAAACAAACCCACTTTGCATAAGATTTATGGTATCCATGTTAACAAGGCTTTTGTGTTCAGTGTTCTAGTGCCAATGGTTTCACTTCTTTAAGGTCATAAACTAAAATGAGTAATTATAGTCCACTTGCAAGTTAGTTTTCAAAAAACTGAAGAAATGCTGCTATTCAAGCTGAACAGGATCCCAATCATCTGGAGAGTATTCAAGTTCAATATACTGCCTTAGGAAGACAGGGCTTGAACAAATGAAATATGGACTAGTAGAGCTTATGTGAACAATGTTCACTTTGTGCTTGCATAATATTAAATTAGAAAATATTAAATTGAAATGCTCACTTGGGGATATTTTGCTCTAAAAAATATTGGGAAGTTAGTGATTTAAGTTTTCAAAGTTATTTCTCTTGTCATATGTAATCAGAGGCCTACATATATGAATCTTGATGCCTTTTAGGAGACATTTAAATAACATGTTTAAAACAGTAATATACATTAAAAGTAATCATCATGAAGAAAAGTTTTACATATTCCCTATTCAAAATAATCTGGAACAATTCTACAACTTGTGATTCTTCTTTACAAATAGAAATGAAGTCAGCAATATATCCAATGTTTTCGGAAGTATCTCAAGAGACAATTTAACAACCTTATACTTAACATACACTCACACACACACGCACACACACAAACCTACACACATACCATTTCACACATACTTCCCTAAAACAACATCACCTTTTACTCCTAAAAAACTCTCTATTGCATATGCTTTATAAAGAGAATATATATCAGCACTCTAGGAAGACATAAAATGTAAATAACACATATCCACATTCTCAATACCAAGTAATTTATATATGTATAATATTATATATGTGAATATAAATATATATTATATATATGAATATAAATGAATACATGGATATAAATTAATATAATATACGTTTATATATTAGTTAATAAACCATAATATAAATTACTATAATTAATTAATATATAAATTAATGTATAAATTAGTATACATATGTGTGTCTAAGACAAAAATTAGATAAAGAATACTTTAAGAAAAGATATAAATTTTTGTAAAGTAATAATTAGAAGCTAGAGTTACTGAAATTAATGGATGCCTTCTCTTAAATACAGTTCTATTTATTATTCTAAATTTACCACACATAGGAATAAAATGTTTCCTAATTATATCTTTTTCTAATAACCTAAACTATTTTTGATAAGTGATTGAAGTAAATTTAGCTCAGTATCAATGTGTCCTAAGCAATAGAGTCATAAATCATCAAAGTCACTTTAATGTATCTCATTCTTTTGTGGTGTCTTATTTTCAAATCAGTTTTCCTTGTTGGCATTAAGTGGAATGTGGGTAATGCTTGTTTCAGAAAGGATGATGCCATGGTATCATGAAAAGGCTGAAGGTCTATAGATTCAGGAAAAGTCATTAATATAGGGAAGGGTACAAGTGTACATGGGTCCAGGAAGTGAATATGACACCAGCATATGGATATGTGTTAAAAGCAAGAACAAAAGCAAGGCAAAGTTGTGGTTCAGAATTGGTAGCCAAGAGTGAGGCTATTGGGGTGTCCAAGTACCGGTGTTTGGGTTTCATTTGGAATTAGATTTCAAATATAGAGCCTTAGGAAATTCCTCATTATGAAAGGCAGCCTGGAGACAGAGTTAAGAAGAGAAGATTTGAGGCACCTGGGTGGCTCAGTCAGTTAAATGTCCGACTTCGGCTCAGGTCATCATTTCACAGGTGATGGGTTCGAGCCCCATGTCAGGCTCTCTGCTGACAGCTGAGAGCCTAGACCCCAGTTCGGATTCTGTGTCTCCCTCTCTCTCTTCCCTTCCTCCTCTCATGCTCTCTCTCTGTCTCTGAAAAATAAATAAAAATGTTTAAAAAACTAAAAAATAAACTAAAAAAAACAAGGAAAGATTCAACTACTTGAAGGTTGAGCCCTGCACAGACTCTCAATTACTTGGAGCCTGGATATTTAGGATAGAAATACAAACACACATAGTTTGAGTCCAATCAGATCAAATTGGAGTGAACAAAGATACTTAACTGGGACTGAACCATCACTTTGTTAACTCACTGGGAACTTCAACCAAAAATGGTCCCTGAGTTTATAGTATGGCCAAACATTTCGGTTGGGGTTAAGTAGACCTGATTGCTAGACTTAGAGTGAAATGAAAAAAAAAAAAAAAAAACTAATCTTTTTATGAAAATAAACTATTGGCACCAATTACTTTGCTTCTAGTAAATCTTAGGTCTCATGCCTCAATTCTTAACTTAAATATGATTCTGCACATTGGGTTTGCCTGCAACCACAGCACGGCAGAAGCAAGTGATCCTTCCAAAGCTGTCATAAACAAATGGAAATTCAGGTAGTGCTTTTCCAATTTAACAACTTACAAAAAATAGAAGTCAACATATACTTCATTCATTTGTCAACTAGTTTTTCTGTCCCCTACACCCTCACTGACAATCAGCCACACAAAACAATAGAATCTGTTTCATCATGGATTTAGCCCCTAATCTCCACAACAGTTAGCATATTTTACAAGATGTTCAACTTGTAGTCTTTTCAAAAATAAGTAGAATAAGAAAATTATGTAGGGGTTATTTTTGTTTTCAAAACTTTGGAAATTGTTTTTCTGCATTGAGGTTTGAACTAGGAACTGTATATGCAATGTTAGGTGGAAATTACTAATTTTGCAATTGTTTTAAAATTTTCACAGTTAAAAAAAGTTCTTTTAAATTAATTGCAATGTGCCAATTTATATATCTAGTATAAATTGTTTGATCTTAAGCCAGATTTTAAGTCATATTTTCTTTGGGGATATATATATATATATATATATATATATAGTCATCAATATATCATCTTACCAACTTAAATTTGTTTTGCAGTATTCAAATCATTTTTACTTTCATTTGACACATATTTATGGTTTACACACTGTATACAGAATTAAGGGAAAATGTAGATGTTAATCTTGTTATTGAACAACTTAAAATACTGAAAAATAGGAATTTAAGTTGTTTAAACCTCATTTTTTGCTATCACATAAAAGTTTTCTATGTAATTATAGTTTATGGTTTAAAGCCAACAGGGTAAGAAATAAATACAGATAGATTTCCATAGGAGTTTAAAAATGATTTGTACCTGGGGTAAAGCAAAGATTTACTACCTAAGATGACTTTAGAGTTAAGTCTTAAATAACAGATAGAATTTTGTTATGTAATCATTAGTTCGAAGGGTAACCTGGGTACAGGTAAAATAACAAGGCAGTGGTGGGAAATTTCAGGATGTATATGAGGAATGGCAAGAGAGTTACAGATATGGCATGAATTAATACAGCCTGGGCTAATAATGCTATAAAGAGGCCTGATTTTAAAATTGAACTCTATTCCATGAGCAACATGGAGTTAATGAAAATTTTAAGTTTAGGAATAACATTCAGACATTTGCTTTAGGAGGAGGTAGGATGCAATAATGTAGGTGACATGTATTAAGACCTGGTATTAATTATGAGATTGCAAAGGAGGGATATTAATAGAATTTGACAACTTACTAGCTTTGGGAGGGAAAAAAGAAATGATTTAATGACAATAAGTTTTCAGACTGGGTGCTAGAAGAATATTATTGATATTCTTATAAAAATTAAGAAGGAAGATGAGAAGTAGTTTGGGGAGGGAAGGCAAGATTTATTTTAGACATATTAAAGTGCTGGCAGCACATGCAAGTGACTTCCCATAGGTGGTTCCAAATATAAAACTAGAATTTCAGACAATTGCAAGACTGTAGATATAGAGGTGGGTGTCTTCTGCATGGGATTACTGGTGGAGACAGTTAAGAGTCCATGAGCTTGTCAGGAAGAGACGGCCTAGAGTGAGAACAGGGCTGGTGTGGAGTGTTAGTGAACATTGACATTTGGAGGAAGGAGGGCAAGGAAAGTAAAAGAAAAAAAAAAAAAGGACAGAAAAAAGTGACTAGAAAGATGAGGTTAAAGAAAAATAGATGTAATTATGTATAATGTCATAGTCACCACAGGAGAATAAACCATTTTGGTGACAAGGTGGAGGTCACCAAGTCATTGCCAAGCAGATAATTATTGATTTTTAAAATAGAATTTTTGGGGCACCTGGGTGGTTCAGTCAGTTGAGCATCTGACTCTTGATTTTGGCTCAGATCATGATCCCAAGGCTGTGGGATTGAGCCCTGTGTTGGACTCCATCCTGAGAGTGGAGCCTGCCTAAGGTTCTCTATCTCTCTCTGTCTGTCTCCCCTTCCCTCTACCCCTCTCACCCACTCATGTGTGCTTTCTCTCTTGAAATAGAAAATAATAATAAAATAGAATAAAATAAAATAAACACATTTTTAGGGGAATGGCACACTTGAAAGCTAAAGAAGGACAAATTGAGGGAAGAGGTAATGAAACATACAGGCAATCATGCTGAAGAAAATGGCTTGGAATAAAAGGAGAAATAGGTTAGTAGCTTGGTGTTCTTGTTTAATTTAGAGCCATCTCCCCTTTAATCTCAGAGGTAAAGTGTTTATTGTTCTTGTCAAGACTAGCTTCTCCAGTTGTGCCCCCTTTAATCAGTCACCCATGCATTTTTGTGGTATCATAATCTTTCCCATTATTGATTTTGTTTTGGAAATAGTATTCTCAATTTAAAACTCCTTTCTTGGTTAATATTTCCCTCTCTGCCATTTTGTCTCCTCCACATTTATCCAGTCTTCTAGACACTGGAATGCTAGCACCCCTTCTGAGCTCCCGCAAGGATGAGGCTTCTGTCTCTACTGTGCCACTGATGTTCTGGATAATGTTGATGATTTTATCATTGCTAAACCAAAGGAGCCATTCGGCACTCACATAATAGGCTTCTCAGTTTTATTTACCATTTTATCTCTTCTCTAAGCTTCTCTTTTGTTGGCTTATCATGAGAACATAGCCTCCTGGTTCTCCCCCATATCCTCTGACCTTTATTTGTGACTTGTGTTTCTTTTTTCTTTGCTGACCCTTCAATTATTGATGTTCCCAGATTCCATTATTAATCCTCTGAACTTTTCATTTTATATTGTCTCTTTGTGAGATATGTCCACTTTCAAGGTTGAAATTCTGCCCTATATCCTGAAGATTCCCAGTTGTATGTTGCCACTTCAGGACTTCTCTGTTAAAAGGTTTTTTCCCTCAAATTTCAAACTTATATGTTCAAATGTCCAGCAAACACCTTCAAATATAACCTGTTTTAAACTAAATTCCTCGTATCTCCTTCCCAACTTGCTTTTCATTATCACTGGTGAAAATACAATCTCTCTTCACTTCACTGGAAAACGGGGGGTGATTTTTTATCTTTCTTTACTTCATCTGATTAATCTCCAAGTGCTGCTGATTTTATCTCCTTAATATTTCTTGAACGTATTTCCTCCTATTCATAACTGTGACTTTCATCTTAATTTAAGCCTTCACTATCTTTTGCTTGAACCACTGTAATGAACTCACTACTGCCCTTAGGCTCTTTATTTTTATTTCACTAATATTCATTTTACCAGAATTTCCCCATAGTCATAGTAAGTTATTAAAGTTATAAAACTGAACAAGTCATTCAATTTAAAACTGTCTTTTTCCAAGTTGACCATGAAATAAAGTCCAACCTTGTTAAAATGACATAAATCCCTCAAGATCTGACCCTTATATTCCTTCTCAACTTCATTTTCAGGTATTCCCTGCTTTGAATGCTACAACAAATACCATATTGCTCATAATTCCAAATTCAGGAATATGATGTAAAATTCAGGAAACATGGTAGAAGGAAAGGATGGTCTTGTGAATACATTAACTAGTTAGCATCATTTGAGAATTGATGAGAAGCCTCTCTTTCCTGTCTCTCCACTATAACATATATCCAAGGACCTTTGTACCCAAGATGTAAGACTTTTTATTCCACAATTAATGATTTGTTCCGTTGTTTCAGTCAGTGACATCTCTATGCACTACCTTTAAAATTTGATCAACCCTTGGGCAGATAACATTGCATTCTTATATCCTTGAAAATAATAGTTTATCATGCTAAGTCTGTAGGTCTACATCCCTGAAGTAATGTATAAATGTCATGTGGGGGACTTTTCAAACTATAAATACTTTTCCACCACTCCTTACTTTTTTACCAGGATTCTAATATATCCCATTTCCAAGTAAGCTTCATTGCCTATGTACAAGCCCTTACTGCTAATGGGAACACATCAGAGCCTTAAGAGTGATTAAGGTCAAGAAAGGAGAGATTAAATTGTACTGGAGAAGTGGATCCCTGAAGGAAATTGAAGGGGAGAATAATGAAGTAAAAGCCTGCAGCTACAGGAAAGTAACTTCTCCATCTCATAGTTTAGCTCAGGACTATTCCTAATTCAGGCATTACTTTCTAAGAGTGTTAGTTGCTTTGTTTCCTTTATATTAGTTGGGATTTCTGAAGAAGTGCGATATAAATCTTTTCACCCTAAAGTAAACCCTTCCAAATGTAGAGCAAAGAGAATTTCTCTCAGGACCAAAGGAGATTTCAGGTACCCTGTAGCACAGAAAAAGATTAAGCTCTTCTTTTGATTCCAGGAAGTTAGAAAATCCACTTACTTAGATGAGCTATTTATTTCTAAAGTTTACTCTCCATTGGATTAGGCTTGATGAATTTTACATCAGAAGTAGAAGTGAAAGGATCATCATTTCATGCAAAATGTGTTATTTTCTGTACAGATAATCAATATTTTCAGTGACCTTTTCTGGGTAACAAAAAACTGCTATAAAGGTGACTATCCTCCTTTATTTAATATGAATGTAGAACCCATCATTGGAAAGAAAACTTGTTCTTTTTGTGTAAATCACAAATTGTTTACTTAGAGATATTTACTTTTCAAAGGATTAAAATAAAATAAGCTGAAAACTACATATTTGCTATACAATATTTATAATGGGTCTTCTGAACAAAATAATTATGAATAAGACTATATACCCATGGGCTTTATTATAATTAAAAATTATCAGTGTTTCATTTCCACTAATGTACCACACATTTAACTAGCTCCTTTATGTAAATAAAGTAAATTCTGACTCTAGTTTGGAATTCAAGGCCTTCTATAATTGGCCCTATCTTCTATTTTTGGATTATTCCATATCTACTTTGGGGAACCTCTGCTTCAGATTAATTTGTTCACTTTCCTCTATGCATACCTAAGGATTTTATGCTCCTCTTTCTTCACATCTTATTGGCTACACCTAAAATCAGTCCTATTCCTAGAAAACCACTAATAGCAAAGCTTACCGATTTTCCCTCTCAATGCAAAACATTTCGTATTAAGACATATTGTTTGTCAATTAGCACATTTAATTGCTAAGCAAAAGTATATTAATCACTTGTTATATTAGGAACAATGCTAGATACTGTAATAAATGCAAGCAATACGTTTCTAAATATCCCATGTATCAAAGAAAAAAATGACAGTAAATTTTGGATATATGTTGATCTAATGTATGACAAAAGCATTACATTGAAACTTGGGATGCAGTTAAACAGTGTTAGGGTAAAACTTACACACTTTAACAATACTCATTAGAAAAGTAAAAAATCTGAAAATTGAATATCCAGAAAGCCAATAATTTTTCAATACAGAAAATTAAACCCAAAGAAAGCTGAAGGAAAAGAAATTAAAAAATGTAATAATAAAGGCTAATGAAGTAGTAAATTAAGTTGTACAATAGGGAAAGCAAAAGAGTCAAAGTTAGAGTCTCCATAAAACCTAAAAAAGCTGATAGACTGTTATGAAAACTTATTTAGGAAAAAAAGAGAAAGCACCAAACATCAATATCAGAAAATTAAAAATAGGCATCATTACAGATCCTACAGAAAATTAAAAATAAGAACATTTTCCAATAAATGGACTCATATTTTGAATCCATAATCCATATTTGAATCCATAATTCAAATCCATAAATACGGATTCATATTTTGAATCCATAATTAATCATTCTTCCCCAAAGAAATTTCTAGTCAGATAGCTTCACTGGTGAATTCTTTCAAGAATTTAAGGAAAAATTGACACTAATCTTACACTAAACCTTCCAGGAATCTAAAAAGAGAAAACAGTCACTTATTTTATGGAGCTAGAATAACCTTGGTGCTAAAACCTGACAAGAACTAAAAAAGAAACATGCAAGCTACCTTCTTTGTGAACATAGAAGCATAGGCCTAAACAAAATATTAGCAGATCAAGTCTGAAAATATGCATGAAGGATAAAATGTCTTAAGGTTGGTTTTGTTTTGGGAATACAATCTTTAAAAAAAATGAATGTAATTAACCAGATTAATAGAATAAAGGGAAATTACATTCATCATAGTAAATGCATTTGATATAATTCGTCCCTAGAGTAGAAAGAAACTTCCTTAATCTGATAAGATATCTACAAACCATTGGCAAATATCATACTCAATGGAGAAAAATGGAAAGATTTCCAACTGAGAATTAGAACAACACAAGGATGTCTGTTATTACCACTTCTATTACATATTGTATAGATATTTTAGCCAGTGAAATAAGGTGAGAAAACGAAATAATATGTACAAGAATAGAAAAGTAATGAATAAAAGTCATTACTTACTGATGAAATTATTATCTACTTGAAACAATCAAAAAGGTCCACAACTAAACTATTATGACTAATGAGTAAATTTAGCAAGTTTCTGTAAAAAAAAGTTATGTTACCCCCCTTCTCTGGTTCATGACATTTTTGTTGAAAAGATCATGGCCAGTTACATTGTAGACATTTTTGATTGCTTTGATTATTTCTTCAGAATATTATTCAATATATATTTTTATATACTGTATTTAATTAAACTGAAAGCTAAATCTTTGGCTTAACTGGATTCCAGTTGACTAGTTGGATGCTTTGGCAAGAACACTTCAGAGTGCACGACGCTGCATATCACTAAGAAGTCAGAATGTCCGGATGTCCCATTATGAATGAATGGTTCTAAGTTTCATCAGTGGTTGTGTTGGTGACAACCACATTGCTTCATTTCAAAGTTGCATTTTCCTCCGTGCAGCTCTGTGGGACGATACTTGGGTGTGATGGCAATATTCAGTCCCCTCACTCACCTTCATCAAATAGCTGCTAGTATCCTCTGAAGATCCTTCTTGAATCAATTATTTCAGTGGGGTATACTGATTTGGAGTGAATAATTTCTAGTGTTTTGATGTATAAATAGGTAGACAGTGAGTAGTCCACTGAAAGCAATAAATCTTAAAGAAAGCATAGTTCAGGATAAACAGCATCTTATTTCTCTTTTGGTTACCTGTGATTTTGGATGACTTTATTTAACATTTAAATGAATCTCAAGCATGACTACACTGTCCTTTCAGTTGATTAAGTTAAGTTAAGCTTGAATTTAAAACAGCATCTAGGTGACATTTTCAAGACTCTGAATGACTCCAGCAATAACCTGGATTGTAAATCAATTAATCATAGTCCTGTCAAGTAGAATTCCTTGTAGAGCTTGTTTATCAAAGTAGAGTATAAAAGGAGAAAGTAGAAAGGGGCATGGAAAAACTAGTCAGAAGCCAAGAAATTATTTCTTTTTTCTCTAATTCTTTAACATTCAATTTGAAATCGGTTTCAATTGGTTTATAGAGAAATGAGAAAAGTTGAAAAACTCTAAAATAGCTTGTTTAGAAGAAAGAGCTGGCAACGAATGAGTTACAAAACGCATTTTTGAGCAGAAGCAGCATTTCCATCTGGAACTTTTATTTAAACCTTATCTCTGCCTTGCAGCTGTACCTGGAAAGAAGGAAGAGAAAACAACCAAGACAGTGGAGCAAGGTAAAAAAAAATGAAGGAGGTTGACATTATCTTCTTTAGAAAGACAACAACATGAGGAGGAAAGCACTGGATTCAGACAGGAGGAAGACAATAACCGTTCTATCTATTGCTCTCTATCACTGTCCTTGCATGCTTTTCTGTTTCAGGGACGATGTGAGGCAGCAATCTGGGTTTTTGTTCTTTTGTATAACTAAACTTTGAGTATAAGTTCAGAGCAGGAAAACTCCACAGACTTCTTAATTATATCAGGGGAAATGCTGAAGATGATTGGGAACAAGGAAATGATCTGGGGTAACTGGTAGACATTTTTCTGTTTGCTTTGTGCTTTTACCACCACCTTACTGATCATAGTTTAAAGAATAAAGATGGCACAATTCAATTGATGCAAAAACAACATCTAATGCTTACAAAATAGTATGTAACACTTAAAGGGGAAAAACACCAAAAGTAAATTATTTGAGCTTATATTGTGACTTCAGCAAGTGATTCTCCCAAGAGGTCTGAAATTTTAATATTAAAAATCATAATGTTATAAGTAATGCATTTTATTTTTATTTATGCAGCTATATAGTACATATATCACTCCAAAATTTGCTTGATAGAAATGCAAGAGTAGAGTGAAAACATTTAAAGTGATGTTGGGCCTTCTGTTAGAGCTTAGCGTGCTAATAATTTTATTTATGATTCCCCCACCATTTGTTTTTTCATCTATCATAATATTTACTAGTTATTGTAATAAAACAGAACTAGTAATACTTTTGTCAAGAGTGAAATCAACATAATTTTTCCTCTGAAATTTGGGAGTAATTAAGTTCCTATTATCAAAAATGTAGCATTTTTGATATGAACAGATCAAGAAAATCCTTTAATTTCTCACATTTCAGAGAAGTAAGTTAAAGTTACGAATTCAACTAAGTTAAATGATTGGTCAAATATTTATTTCCTTGGGCTTTTCAAAACAAAATCAGATTACAATTATATTGAAAAGTTTTCAAATGAGTTTTGGCTTCTGGGGACTTCCTGAAATTTTAGAATTCAACAGAATGTTTCTATCAACTTCATTTGATGTGGATATTTCCATCTCTGACAAAGAAAGTAGAGGAATGGTACGACATCCAGTTTTAACTCGTTCACTTAGGCAAGGAAGGCCCTGAGCCTAAATTTCTTCTGGGGGAAAAAACAAAAACATAAACGGAATGACTTCTATCTGACCTGCCTATTCAACAAGATGTAGAGCTCAAACAAGAAAACATGGGAAAAGATATGAAAAATGATAAATTCCTAGATAATTGCACAGTCCTTACATGAGCATATTTCCTTATCAAATCAACTTTACGACAGGTGAGATAAACTATCAAACCGTGTCAATTTAACTGTTTCATAGTTTTTTTTTTCTTCTAGTATAAAGGTGTTCATTGCTCATCTTTGGCATTTGTAGCTTTGCTTTTAAAGCCAAAGCATATTAAGAGAAGACTGACAACAGTGTAAAATGCCCAACACTAGTACTTGTACCTAAAAAATAAGTGATTTAAACACAGAATGTTTATTTTTCTTACCTGCATGTTGGTGTCAGTTTCATTAATTCTATAATGTTTCCTCAGGTAGGTAGGAGACTAGAATTGGTTCTTAGAAATGTGAACTTACTTCTTCAGATAATTTTATAATTCGTTTTTTTTATGAAAGATACCTTTTATCATATAAAATCTTAGGCTTTTAGCTTGTATAAAAAATGAGGTTCTTTCAATGGCTCTTTTTATATTGACTTAGTAAATCATTTCAATTTAAATATCGTAAAGCAATAGCTTCATATAGTTCAACTATAAATACCATAAAAATAGAATATTTGGGTAAATTGCATATTTTTGAGATGATATGTCTATGACTAATCATTGATATGAAAAATATATTTTGTGATTTAAAAAATCAAAAGTTTATGTAAAATTAAGTCAATGATATTCTACAGATTTCATCAGAGTATTCTAAAATTTATTCATAAGATGAGGCTTTAAATCTATTTTGTACTTCTGCAGTTTTTAGTTATCTTTAGAAGCATAAATAATCTAAAACTAGTATATAAGGCATTGAAGTATGATTAAATAGTTTTTAAAGTCATTTTTATTCATTTAAGCTTGTACTTGTAAACTTGCACTTGGAAAAATATTATTTACAAACTCTTACTAGATTTAAAATACACTTGGTGATCTATATAAAATTGTGTATATTGAACCTCTGTACTTAGTCTGAATTATAATTGTACTCAGGACACATTGATTAAGCTAAAGTTCACATTATGGGAAGTTCATAGAGTGAAAGGTGGAATGAATTTTATTTTAACATAATGTAGTAAACTAGACATCATATCACGTAAGAAGTAGAAATTTAGTTAATCTAACTTCTGCAAAAGTCCAAAAATGTAACTCTATTTTATCTCTAACTCATGATGAACCATGTGTTTTTTTAGTTATTCTTTTTGTGAAGATCTTAAAATAGCTGGACTGGAATTTTGAGTATAAGGAAACACTGTATAAATAATTTCTCTACTTTAAAGGTGTACCTTTAAAGATGTACACACACACACACACACACACACACACACACACACAACCACCACCATTAATTATTCCTCCTTGTTTAGAAATCAGTTACCTAGAAGTATCAAGAGATACAAATGTTTAATACAATAAATGTTGCTATCCTTGTAGTGAGAGCTAAGGAATGCCAAAGATAAAACCTTACAACATTTGCTAGATGCTGTGTGATACCATATGAGAATTCATCTTTAGATATTCTATATTACATCTAGAGAAAGTACATCATGTTTCATTAAGCTTAACTTATTCATTTGTTGATATTTAACTTCTTATAATTAGTGAACATTTTGCTCCTTGGTATTCATGTTTGAAATTGACCTGCTTCCTATATCCCATTTACATTTCTCTTTTCAATCTTGCTTTCATTCAGAAGAAAAATTTTAGGAATATTTGTTTGTTACTAGACAGATAAGCAAAACAGTCACTCTAAGGAAGCATCCAGTGGCTTGCTACTTCCTGGGGCAGGGAAGGACATCAGTCAAGACAATTAATTTAAAAAAAAATACAATTAACTTTGAAGATCTGAACTCTAGATTGGAGTCACAGCATCTCTCTATTTTTAATTGTCTTCCTTCAAAGTGACTTAAATCCAACAGTGAGAAGGTAAAGGAAATAGTAATAAATTCAATCACTTGCAAATCATTTTTCCTTTTCTTTCATTCATTCACACATATGCATGACTTCACTTAAAGTCTTCTTTAAGAGTCCGTTCTAGAAGTCTGTAACAGTGCTGGAATACAGTAGGTGTTCAATGATATCTGTGGGTTGAATGAAAACCAAAGGATTTTTGAAGAAAGGACTATTAGGCGATCCAGATTTCAATGAACATGGCCTCTAAATATTGTGCAATTAAAAGAATATTTCAGTTCATCAAAATATGATATCAATTAGTGAAGTTTGTCATATTTTAGAAACCAGGACAAAAATGATTAAATTCTTCAGTTTTAAAGTGGAACTAGTAGAGAAAAAATAATAATTAAATATGTGTTATTCATTAACGACATCATGTTGTTATGATCTTTGCTGATGGTGTTGTTACGTAAACAAAATTGCCTGCAGTGAACAGTTATCATATGGGTAAACATATTGAAAAATTAAATTGTAGTAATTGCAACTATTGTGAATTTCTTTAAAAACTTACAATGAAAGAGAAAGTTAAACAGTTGCCCAATTAATACAATAAATGATTCTAAATATAGAAACATTAGGCCTACCTATCATTTCCTTTCTTATTTTTACAACTGTGGAGCTGAATTAGATGATCTCTTACTGCTTCCAAGTGTAAAATTTTCTATTCAACAAAGTTTTTAAGTGGTGTTTCCTTACAACAGAATATAGAGTCTATTTCTTCTTTAAGGGAAGGCTAGTCTAGAAGGACTTACAGTTATAAGACTTGGAGATTCAAATGCTAAGGAAAACCACACTATAAACTTGAATACTTATAGATACTTCACTATCCTAAAAATAAACTGGAAGTTTCACTACAGACGTATTAAGTACAGTTTTCCATTCTCTTAACAATTAAAAATCACTTCAAAATCATTAAATAGAAACATGACAGGAAAATATTCACAAAAAAAGATTAAATAGAATTTACGTGCCTATTTACCACAAGAATAAATCTTAACACAATTAGTAATCATTTTATTCAGGATAAAACTGGAACATGTGGTTCATAAATGTATCCAATGCAGTTCCTTTCCTATAATAAAAAAATTCTGCCTTGCCTTAAATTGAGAAATGTTTCTGAATTCACAAACATGCTAATTTGTGTTCACCCGTAGAATTTCTCTTTCTTTGCCTTTGATTCTATTTTGTAAGCAATGGTGCCCTACATAATTGTATTAGTGTTTTAAGTTGTCATAACAGCAGGTGAAACCCAAATGCTAATACATGCTTTGTGTTTTTGTCATTGTCTTCACTCATCTTTTCAGATTCTTCTGTTCTTTGTACATGCACTGTTCTACCTAGAATATGTGATGTGTACTTGTTGTAGATTTATCCCATATTTTCAAGTGAATGTTAACAATAAGAGTAATGATTTCCTGACAGAAAACTATTTATTTAAATAAGTAATGTTTATATTTTGGTGTGTTAACATTATTTTTAAAAGATTAGTATTATGTTTAAGATCAATGGAGTAAAATTGAAATTTTAGTTAATACAAGTTGTATTTAACTATTTGCTTAATGTGTGATTATAAAATACCCTATTTGCACATGTGGACTAAGTCATGCTGTTGACCCTCAATAAATGTTAAATGATAACAATACTATTGATTCCTGTGAATTCCAAACTTTTTGACAACAGTTTGTGCTTTGATTGTTTAATATTTATTGAGCGCCCACAACAGACTAGGCGCTGGGGAATGGGTGTGAGGAACATGAAGTGGGCTACAGAGAGAAGATG